TCTTTGGAGTATGTACTGTACCAGGTGATAGCACCTGGCTAACCTTGTCTGGGTTTGGAAGCTAAGCAGATCTGGTTAGTACCAAGATAGGGGATCCAGGGGATCCCAGGGCTATAGGCTAGATTGTGGAGTGAAAAAACAGCTGAAAAGAAGGCAGTGGTTTGTTTTGTGAATAAATGGCTGAATGGCTATGTCTGCAGAGTCACCAGGAGCTGAGAACTAGAATTGGAGATTAGAAAACTAATTTGAGTCCATGTCAACTTGGAAATCTTACTTTTATAAAGCCATTTATTTTAAAAACGACCCAGTTCCCTTAAATATTGCTAAGCATATTTTTGTATACTTTACCTATTGCAAAATATGTATTTCATCTAAGATTTTTACTGAAGGTGCTTGTTAAAATGAGACTACTGTACAAGGGAATATATTTGCATTTGAGAAAACTGTAACCAAAAAACAGACTTGAATATGATTAATGTAAGTTTACAGATGAACTCCTCCAGCACCTTCATGTAGATCAGGTTTCCTCAAAATGGTCAATATTGACCCACAATGGTTAATAGGACCATTCATTGTTGTTGTTGTTGTTATTATTTGTAGTACTATTAGTTAAAGTAGTATTTATTAAATTATTTTCATATAATAAATGTTTGGGGGTCTATGAACAATCGGGAACTTCATGAAGGTGTTGATGAGCTGAAGTTTGGGGACCCTTGATATAAATTCTGAAAAGAAATGTTAGAATGGCAGTCTCCAGGCATGCCTTTTTAAGAGACTGGATAAGAATCAGTGCAAAACTGTGCTATTTCAGACAATCCACAAATGTACTGTTGTTGATGGTATTGAAAGTTACTAAGATATCAAGTGATTCTAGATGGTATCTAGTGATTCTAGATAAACATCAGTCATAATCTCCTTTAAAACCATTTGGGATAGATTTAATTAATCTAGTTTAAGCAGAGGAATCAGAATCTCTTAAGAATACTTCAGCAGAGTAACTTTCCATAATGTCCCTGAATCTTCACAGTGCAGTATGGCAAAATTCTTAATCTTTATCAGATACTGCAAAAACGACAGGAAATAAAGATTTCATTTAAACATTGTATTTCTAAATGGGTTACGTAATTTTTAGAGGAAGAAATTCAAACTGAAGTATCAATACCTGGGTAATTTGATCATATATAGTCTGATTTCAGCATACATTAGAAGTCAGGCGTGAGGCTGAGCGATATGCAGGAATCAACCTTAGATATCTAATAATACAGAATTTCAACTGGTGGTGTCTGGGTATATTCATTCAGAGAAATGTTCTTGTAGGAGGGGAGGAAAGTCTGGGTTTGTTACAGCTTCCATGCACAAAAGCAACATTTCTGAGGGTAAGAGGCTAAATAAAAGCAATAACTGATCATACTCTTTAAGCAGTCTTAGATGCTTTAGGAGGTACTGTATGTAGGTGGCCCTCAAATGCTGATTTAAGTAGATTTTTTAGTCTGATTAAACTGGACGTTCTTATGTTCTTATATATTTTTGCAATATAAAGCTTTCTTCATTCTATAGTTTACCTCAAGGACAAAAACCACCTTGCAGCTGTATGGACAGCCATCCTCTCTTCAGTCCTAAACGAAAAAATGCACAATTTCCATGCCCACGCAAAAGTAAGTCTATTTCTTATAACTTGAATAATTATCATGACTTGAATCCAGCCTTATTACTTAGAGTGGATTCACTGGATTTCTTATTACTTACGTATCAATTTGTCAGAATTGATGAATCTACTTTAAGCATGTCTAAATCTTAATCTTGTTTTACACTTTCAGTGATTTGTGAATCTAAACAAGTTGAATTAACATTAACAAGAATGTTCTGCTTATCAGGAGAAAAGGACAAAAGCACAACAATAACAAAATGTTTCAAAATTACCAAGCCAATTAAATTAACATCTGCATTTATGCTATGATTTGGAAATACATTTAGTTCCTATCCTGGCCATGTTCAAAAGAGGTCTGAAAACCTGGCTCTTTCCTCATACATTGGGATAGCGGGAGTGGCAGGTCCTACATGTTTGATTGTCTTTTCACTGTTGTTTTCCTTCCAGCATTTGGATGTTTTTATTATTGTTTTTGTTGTTGTATTGTATGATTACTGTACTGTACT